GTACTAATCGCCTCCGCACGAACATCCTGCTGGTGGAGTCCCCATTTTGCCATCAGGGGGTTTGCACGGTCGGGTTGGAGGCTCTCTCTCTCTCCCGCTTGTGCATTCAACCGCACGACGCCTCCTAGGAACACGGAGACGTGGAGGTTCGACCAAGATCGGCTCCATTATCTCGGCAAGATCCTAAGACAGCTTCTTGTACGCCACCTATTGGGACCAAATCACTGACTTATCTGATATACTAGTATAGTTGAGTACCCATGCGCTACGGGTTTAAAAATCCATACTTTTATAAGCAAATTCACTATGTATGCATCATGGTTTCCATTCAAGTACAAGTGATGTATTTTGTGAAACACATAATAATTCATGCTACAAAGCAATTTTTTATAACAAAGTAGAGATACAGGCCGGTTAACTTTCCCTAACGAGTGTTTTGGAGTCCTGGAAGCATAGTGCAGATACTGAAATTAGTATTTTTTTTTTGGTCCCAAACTCTTATCTTCAGTCAGTGGATTATACATCTATATTACGCTGGAGTGCCGTTTTGCACCTTTTTATTGTCATCATAATCATCGGTTGTGTTATTTTCCGCTTCATTTGCTAGTCAGTCATGATCCGCGGGAGCAGCTTGTTCCCTTTCCTCACACATCACTCATGCTCTTCATCAGCCTTTTTGATCTTTTATTAGTCCTTGGTTCAGTGATGTGTTTATATTTTCAAAATGTTCGCAACTCAGCCTCCTTATACTCGTTGTCATCTCGCAGCCACCCCAGTTGGTTGGTAAACAGAAAGCATCAGTTTTATGCAGCGCTGATCCCTACAAGCATCAATTTAAACTTGCAGGTACATTAAACTGAAACATGGGCTACTACACGTCTACACAGCATCACAAATCTTCAGGCCCCCCTTTGAACACAGGATTCTCAAAACACAGGAACAGGAAAAAACATGATTACAATTGTATGAAACTTGCAATCCTACATAAATCTATAATGCAGGAAAATTTCTAATGTAGTCTTTGGACAAAACACAGGAAAAATACAGAAACCAGAGGAGAGAGATAGGCACAAAGGAAAGTTTCCCTGAGGTCCAACCTTATGTTAGTTTTCCTCCAAAATTCCTATGTTTTCATGCATCCCATGATAATCCTACAAGGATTTTCATAGGGTTCAATCCTTTTGTTCCAAAGAGATGTATATGAAACTGTACTATATAGGGTTAAAATCCTCTAAAATTCTTGTTTTTCCTCTATTCCAAAGGAGGCCTCAGGATCCCCACCTGATACCTTTCATATTGGCCCAAAACGGCCCATGAGATACATTGAGGATTACAGTTACAGATGCCTTCTCGTTTGATTCAGAACTTAGGAAACTACACAGCATCACAAAATATTCAGATGCCTTCTTGTTTGATTCAGAACTCAGGACAAGAGAAAAAGATACATGAAACATGAGCTACTACGTACTATCACAAATAATGAGATGCCTGCTCCATAAGTTGACATGACAAAATGATTTATCTCTAACGAATGGAGCATGCTGCATGCTAAGGCTCAGGGATAAGGTGATCGAAGAAGAGTGAGTCTGGGCTGTTGCTGGTTATGCAATAGAGGTAAGCAAGAATGCAGAATCGCCTTAATATGCGTCAGTTCACTCCACGGCGAGCTTGGCAATGGGGCAGCGGCTGGCAGCTGGGGCTGCATAATTTTTACCACCTACAAATTATATTCGTCGAGGGTATGTCATCATCAAGCGTCGCCATAGACAACCGTCAGTCCCTCGTTATTCGTTCTTGTCTGATCTTGTTTGTGGTTAGTGCAAAAAATAATTTTCAACGATGACAAACAGCCCAGCCCAGGCTCATATCAGTTCTGTAAAATATCAAAAAATTCTAGAACAACAGTTTAATCTTATACTGATGCATCGTGTCATCGGTTTTGCAGTGTTTCTGGCCACTTTTGTAGGTCTGGCAACAGAGCAGCCTCTGTTTCATTGTAGTCTACCTTCACCAGAACACTGCACATGCAGTCATGCACACACAGCCATGACCCGGTCAGGCGGTGACGGTCACCATGGACTGCTCAAGTTCTCATGGGACTGCTCAATCTTATGCATGCGCTGCCCTGAACATAGAAAAATTAACGGGTGCAGAGAAAGAAGCATTTTATAGTGGCATAGAAGTATTTTTAAGTTTTAACCAGACCTAGGATCAATAGCTGCTCCTAATTCTTGAACAATGGTGTCGCCAAATTTCTGTAAATCTCTGGCCAAGCCTTTGGCATCACAGCAGACATAGATGTAAGTGCCTTGGCTCTTGGGAGATCATGTCCCAGATTTCGATGCCTGGAAGGGCAGAGGAACTTTGAGCCACCGAGTTAGCGATTGGAGGGTAAAAAAAGAAGTTTATCAGAAAATTGGCAGCAGAATTACTTTCTATGCCATTTTGTGTTGCATCTATTCCAAAGTACAGCCCTTACGCGAGAAAGTCATACATGGAATTGGCACGGCGATATACATGGAATGATATTGGCTGATCATATTCCACAAGAAAAAGAGAAGCAAAATTAAGTAGAGGTGAATCTATATTAAGGTAAAGACTTATGTGCATAGCACTCCTTTTATTTGTCTCATCAGCAGTAGCAGTGAGAAGCATTGATTCTTTTATGGGCTTATGCTTTCTGAGCAGTGACACATAAACTATGTCGAATTACAATTATGCTTGTCATATTGGTGTTTAATGTCTTTTTCCTACACAAAAATTTATTTCGGCGTATTTTTTTTTTTAAATTTTGCTCAATGCAGAGACCATGTAGGAAAAGTGCCCGCTCTAGTTAACACCATCAGTCAAGGCCTCCTTGTAGAGATAATTTAAGTAACCGCGCATGGGAACGAAGGCAAACTCGATCTATGTGTGACAAGCTAGAATCAATTGAATAATATTGTTTCTGCTTCAAGCAAAAGACCAAGATATATGCCCCCCTATATACCCTTTTAGAAAGAAGAACATACATCACATATATACACCTAGTAGCCATGTCTTCTCTCTAATGTATATGCAAAAACTAAATTAATACTTCAACCATAGTTGCACAACTTGTAGTATGAAGTAATCAGAGATGAACCACCATTCTAACTCTACACCTATTTAAAGATGGAATTTGCTACAGGAAATCTCTTCTGTACATAGAATCCATACGGAACTCTAAACTCATCCAAGATTCAGAGCTTCGTTCTTCTGGACAGCCATGTCCCTAATATACATTCACGGTACAAGAACACTTAGCAAGTTTGGATCCTCCCTCCCTGAATCCATCGGTCAATTCAATTCTGGCTAATGTATGTTGCACTATTGGTCCAATTCTTACTCTAATGAAATGGTTCAAGCAAATAGGCATTTTACTCCCAGGCCAAACCAACAAGGCATGAGTGAAACTAAAGGGAGTTCAGAGATATCAAGCAGGAAGTTAATGAAAAGGTTCAAGCAGGAATTTTCAGAACACCATAACATAGAGTTAGATCTAATAAGAAACACAAACATCTATCTGCGAATCTAAAAAGAATTTAGGTCTCACTAAAACTGCATGAGACCAAACTCTAGGATTACATTTGTTTATTATGGTGACTACCCTACGTTGTCCATAATAAAGGAGACACATGAGCGATATGCTCTTCTTCGGAAATGAAAAGGTTTTCTCAACACATCAGTTTTCAAACTTTCGAAAGAAGGGATCATTATTTGTTTTGATGTTTTTGTTCAGATGCAAGGCAAGGGAGAAAAAACAACAGATTTTGTGCATCCCTTGAAAAAGGAAATTCAAATCAAAACACTGAACATGGGGGAATAAATACTTCTACGCTTATGAGGTCAAGGTCAGATTAGGCACAGAGCAAAGAAAAACTGAAACGTAAAAAAGGGAAGGAAAGGAAAAGAAACCTGATACATAAGTGATAAAGAAGCTATGTACAAATTCCCTAGAAACGGAAAGATAATTGAAGCTCATAATAAACATGCAGATATTTGTGTTATTATTAAAAAACTAATCAGCAACTGAAAATGTAGCCAGAGCATCCCAATTCAGTCGTCTGTGTCCATACCAATCAACAAATCAAACATTCAGAACTACTCTAGATATCAGCAAAATGACTTACTGCATGTATCATGCAATTCATTGATGCTATCTGTCAACAAAATGTCAATCGATAGGTTAGATATCAGACTCTCGGAGGAGGCTTACCCAATCAAGGAGACACAGTGAGGAGGCGAGATAGACCGACAACAGATGTAGTTTCCTGATCGATGGCGGGTGCATGATCGATCGACGGTGGTGGCTATCGTTTACTGGCCTCTACTGTTTGATTCTTCGTGCGGGGGGCAGCGCTGATCGATCGACGGCGGTGTCTGTCGTTCCTCGGCCTCCGCGCCTGGTTGATTCTCCGTGCAGGGGGGCGCCGGGAGTTTCCGGCAGTCAGGGGAGATGGGTGGTGGCGGTACGGTGGTGACTGTCGGCGGGGGAGGGGCGGCGAGGCGGCGGGGGTAGCCGGGTAGGGCGTGTGGGGCTGGGGCCGAGTCGGGTTTTTTTTGGGTTAATTGGATTCAGACCATTACAAAAATCGCATGTCTGAGAAATGCCATTACTATTCTTCACATTTGAATCCTGCCATTACAATTCCTTGTGCAACGGAGGAATGCCAGATTCTACGCTTCGCTCGACCTCTGGTCCACCTGCTGGCATACGTAGACGTACCCCAAATCGGTATGGTACATTATGCCCCTACGTTCCGTATTAGAAGGTTGCGCCGCTGACTGGATCAAGCTCATCTATTCCCCACCTTCTCTTCCTCCCAAACGACGGCGGCGACGACGGTGACGCTCCCGACGGCGACGACGACGGCTACTGCTCTAGGCGGCCACGGCTACTGGTACAGCGACTGCTCCTCCTTCCCTACCCCATCCGCCATTCTCTATCCCTCTCTAGTGCCTACATCTGCTCTGTGGTGATGGCGAGCACGGCGGCCAGCTCCAGTGCAGGCACTGTTCATTGTCTTCCTCTGGTTGATTGTCCCAAATGCAAGGTCAAGGTCGTTAGACGCAAGAGCCAGGCTGGCAACTTGTATTACAAGTGCCCCAACAATTTTCGGGTAATTTGACATGTTTTTTGTTTATTTTTCGTTGAATGCAGCTAGGGGTAATTGTGCTTGATTTTGATTTATTTATGTTATGCAGAACGATGATACTTGTGGGGAGTACTGGTTCGAGAACGAGTACCTGGAGTATTTACGCAAAAATCATCTAGCCCTGCTTGAGGGTGTCGAAGTGGATGGTGTGCAGCCTGCAGCTGTTGCCCCTACTGTTCTTGGTGCTCCTGCTGTTGAAGGGACAGAACAAAATAGTGGCAGATTGCTAGAGATGCTGGACATTAAGGTTCAGATAGCTGACTTGAAGGCTGACATTGCCAACTTGAAGCTGGAGATCAAAAATTTGAAGAACGGAGGATTGAGCAAGCCTTTTGTCGTTAGCTATGCATTAGTTGCTATGGTGATGCTGAACATATTTGTAACTATTTTAGTTGCAGCAATTTGGAAGTGAAGTAGTGGGCAGGTTAGGAGCAGAGATTGTAGTGTGTGATCATTTTGGAAGGCAAAGAAGTATCATGTTTTTTATCAGTGTTAATCTGAATATGTATGTGACATGTGACTCTGTTTCAGTAGTGGTTATGTAAATCTTTTTTCAGTGATTATGTGACTATGTTTTTTGAATATATTTCTATGTTTTTAGAAACACAAACTTTCACAGAATTGGGTTTATCAACACAAGCTCATTATGACCAGAACACACACAAAGGCAAAGTACCTGGAGAATACTTTTATGGGTTCAATAACACAAGCACAGTTACCTTCTGACCATAACACACACAAAGGTTCAGAAGCATGTACCAGATTACCTAACATCCAGTTCACATGCACATAAGCACAACTACATGGCCAGTCCACATCCAGTTCACAGGCACATCACACCTTCCCTACAGGTTCAAAAGATTACATGGGACAATTTCAACTTCAAAAGACAACAGGCAGAATTTAATCTTGGCCTGTTCACGTGCACACAAGAACTTGAACTTCAAGCTTCCATGTTGTTTAAAAAGTCCTTGAGGCTTCGAACAACACTAGTTTCTGGAGTAGCCTCCGCCCTCTTCTGCTTCTTCTTTGCTGGGATCTTTTTCTTCTTAGGTGTCTTCTTCTTCTTCTTAGGGGTCTTCTTCGTCTTAGGTGTCCTCTTCTTGACTTGTGATGGTCCAGCAATAACATCATCATCTTCTTCTTCTAGTTGCCTTTTCCTGTAAATGTCACAATATTGTTAGGAAATAGTTACTAAATTGTTACAATCGACCTGCAATAAAAACAAGTCTGGCACTTGCCTTTTTGTTGTTGCATTCAACCCAACCTCTCCATCTTCTCCTAACTCTGGCATCTTGCAAGTCTTGGCAAAGTGGCCAAAATCACCGCACCTTTTGCACCTCACCTTCTTCTTAGTAGCATTTTTCTCCAAACTTCCTCTGATTCTTACTACTCTGGGCCTACCAGCCGCTCTTCCTAATAGAGGTGGCCAAACTTTGAACCCAACGTCAACCGCTGGCCACTGTGATTTGTCTGGCATTGGTTCAACTCTTTGAGCATATGCAGCCCTGAAACTCTAAACAGAATAGTACTCATGCACAAAGTCTGCAATTTTCATTCCCCTGTGTGACAGTATCCATGCCAATGCATGTTTGCACGGCTTGCCTGTGACTTGCCACTCTCTACATGAGCAAGAATGATGCTGCAAGTCCACAGTGTGCCACTTTTGGTTGTTCCAGTCATCAATCAATGTCACTTCTGCTATATCCAAATCACTCTGGACAACCTTAACAACTTTCAGGTTATTGCTTATAGTGTTTAGGTCCTTGATGACACCAGGGAGTATACCATCCTGTAGAGTCCTACCAATCTGCTTCCTTAAACATCTCTTTTCCATTATCAGCTCCCTTATCCCATCAACTAGTTCATGCAACAAAAGACCTTTCAAGTGCCTAATCTGAGAATTGAAACTCTCAGAAATATTATTGGTCAAGTAATCACATTTACTATTCTCTGAAAATCCACATCTATACCAAACCCTGTTGTGGTAGTCCTGCAGGTATTTTATGGCAGCTGGATCAAACTCAAAGATCTTGTTCATGTGCCACTTGAACAAACCCTCAGTGTAACTTCTTGCAGCTGGGTACAAGTGATCAGTGAACACATCTCCACGATAGTGCTTCATGAAGTTGGCATACATGTGTCTCATACACTCCCTGTGCTCTACCCCAGGGAAAACTGCATCCACAACCTTTTCAAGACCTTTACAGGCATCTGTACATATAACCAAACCAGTTGGATAATCAACAGCTCTACGCAACTGCTGCATGAACCACGTCCAGTTGTCTTCTGTCTCAGAATCAAAAACAGCATAGGCCACATTATACAACCAATTGTGACCATCCACTGCAGTTGCTGATGCTAGCTGCCCAGTATATCTGCTGCGCATTGCAGATGCATCTACACCTATAAATGGCCTACAGCTAGCTAAAAAACCATCAATGCATGGCTTCAGTGCTACAAAAATTCTCTTGAAGCGCTTCTTCTTCTTCTCTTCTACCTCTATCTCTACAATGGTACCAGGGGAACTAATTTCTATCTGTGCTTTCCAGTTGTACAGCAATTGAAAACTTTCTTCATACTTTCCATGAATCTGATCAAGAGCAACCTTCATACTAGACCAGGCCTTAGAGTATTTCAGTTTGATGCCATAATCTCCTTTAAGCTTATCCTTTGCATCTTTGGCTTTTTTATTTGGATTTTTCTTCACCCACTCTCCTAACCTATCAGCACACCATCCTTGACTAGCCATTTTGCCTACCAACAGCTTGGTACTGGGACAGTTGTGGTCACCAGGCAACACTTTTATCTGCACGTCATATGTTTCACAGTTAACAATTTTATCTAGAAGCAAAAATTATAGAAGCAGGCAACAATTTTATTTGCAAGAAAAAAATAAAGGTTTTATGTTGTACCTGTATTGTTTTTTGATCAAAAAGTCTAGAGGTATGAATTCTCCATGGGCACCCCTCGGCTGCACACTTGGCAATGAATCTGGTCGGGTCAGTTTTCACCTTAGCAAACTCAAATCCTTTCTTCACAGCATAATGCCGCACTGCCTTTCTGAATGAAACTATGTCAGGAAACAATTGTCCCTTGATAATCTTGGGGTTCTCTGGATCATGAAGCACATGAATCTCCAGGGGATCTGCATCATCAACTTCTGCCTCTAGAGGAAGACCTCCATCAGCAGCAACATGATTAGAATTTTCATCAACCGGTTCAACATTGTCAGTGGTTGGTGGCTGTCTAGGTGGTATTGTTATATACAAGTGCTCATCATCTACCCCAACATACTCCTCATTATGAAACAAGTCCGGCTCTCTATCTGGTTCAAGGTCTGGTCCATTGGTGGAGCTATCTAGTGAAGCATCAGCATTGGTGGTGCTATCTGGGAATGCAGTAGCACTGGTGGGGATATCTGGCATAGCATTAGCTTTGGCAGCCCCATGTAGCATAGCATCAGTAGGTGCACTGTCATCAGTTGGAATAACACAAAGGGGCTCTAGTAGATCGAACTCAGGTGCATCACACATAGGTTTGTCACACACTCCTACTACAAAGTGGCAAGACATTTCATCCTTATATATGTAAAATAAATCTATCATCTGAATCTCACTGGTTAACCTGACATCTTCTTTCAAGATTTTGTCAAAGAACCACACATTGGCACACTGGTTGGGGACCATTTAACTGCGCTCTGCAAACTTTGCATCAACAGTTTTAGTGTAAATGATCCTATCTCCACATCCCACTTAATTACAGAGCCTCTGCAATAAACTTTTCAACCAATTGAGTCTGTTGTACTGAAAGCTGGTACTTTAATCTCTAGCGTGAAGAGGCCATCCCTAGCATCAATGTGAAAACAAATCATAGAAAGATGACTACAACAATTAACCACAAACTACTATTCGTCCTGGTATTAGAGAGATGGAGTTTCAGAGGAGTACCTAGACATCCCGTCCTCTGTCACAGAGTTAGCGCCGAGCTTGGCGCTAAGAGACCCCCCCAGCCATCTGCTCAACCTTCCATACCTACGGATCTAGGGGGTCGCCACCAATCCCCGCCACCGTGCCCGCTAAGAGTCGTCCCAGTCTCAGTCGCAGTTGCCACTCTCCGCCGCCGCCGCCGCCGCCGTAGGGTTAGGGTTCGTGGACGGAGATGAGAGGGAGGAAAGGAACGGTAGCGAGTCGATCCAGTCAGTGGCACAGGCTTCTAATGCGAAAGGCAAGGACATACTCGACCATACGGATTTGGGGTACGTCTGTATGTCAGTAGGTGGGCCAGAGGTCGTGGGAAGCGTAGAATCTGGCATTCCTCCGTTGTACAAGGAATTCTAATGGCAGGATTTGAATTTGAAGAATAGTAATGGCATTTCTCAGATATGCGATTTTTTAATGGTATGAATCCAATTAACCCTCTTTTTTTTTTTTGTTGTTGTTTGGGTTAATTAACAAGATCATACCCACGCATTGTGCATCTCCGCCCGCGGCACCGCGCCGGTGCTCTGCCCGCGCCGGTGCTCTAGCGTGCTGCGCGAGAGAGAGGCGGCGCTCGTTCTGGGGGGGATATTGGAGAAAGGGCCAAAGGGCAGCGGGGTCCATCCCTCAACCAAACGGAACCGCTCCGTCCCGTCTCGACCCGTCCCCCCTCGGTCCCTTCGACCAAAGTCACCAAACGCATCGTAAACCAGCTCCTCGACTCGAGCTCGAGCTCCAACACGGCGGAGATCTCCGGCGAGGCGCGGGACGCCGGCGATGGCACCGGGGGCCGACGAAGCACTGTACGAGATCCACCGGCACGCGTCGGGATCCAACGTGATCCCTCATGTGAGTGCCCGGCCCCTCCCTCTCCCCCTCCTCATCCTCCCATGCTTCCTCCCGCCTCGTAATCCAATCGCGGGCGCGTTGTGCGTGGGAGAGATGCGAGGCGGGTCATCGTAGATTCGCGCTCTTCAACACTATTTTGTTGATGTCCTTCTTCCGAATTCTGTTTTCGGGTGAGGGTGTCGCCAGAGTTCATAGCAATAGCTCACAAGGATTTTTCGTTTTAGCCTGTCTATCATTCTATATGTGTTTTTTTTTAATTTCGTGCAACGTTGCTGCGAGGGTGTTCAATTTACTAAGTTTTTAGTAGTATTTTGGAAGCTAAATAGCTGTGAAATCCTGATGGTTATCTTCATTGTTATGTAATTCTTGCAAACACAGCAAGAAGAATACCAAGGTGCTGCGACAAGTAGTGGTAGCTCAGATGCTGGAGGAGGAGGCGTCCTCTCCTATCTCTCCTTGCAAGGTACAATTCCATTCGCTTCGAATTCTTCACAAATCCATCCATACAGGATGCAGCGCTGACCAGTTGCTTCTTCATGCTACCACCAACCACCCTTGAAGGTGTGAGCAAACTTAAGGAAAG